CGCTTTAAGCTGTAAGTGAATCATAAACAATACAGTCAATTCCTAAGCATGGATGGTGGATGGAAAGGTGCTGCTAACTGTCTACTTTCCACTGATCATTAGTTCAAAAAATTATAATTATTGACATTTTTCTACCCTAGATAATGATGTTTCTTAAGTATTGAAATTTCTGCTGTTTTTATTATTATCATTATTATTCAGTTAATTGCTTGGTGATATTTCATCTCTTTTCAATAGATATCTAATTAAATATATTTTTACTTTCATTTTCTGGCTAAATATATTTCTTTAATATAATTTTATTTTACAAATAACCAGCACTTTAAATTTATTACCTCATTATAGTCCCCCAGTGGCTCAGCGGTATGTCTGCGGACTTACAACTCTAAAAACTGGGTTTCGAAACTCACGGTTGATAGAGCACAAATAGCTCATTGTGAAGCTTTGTACTTAACTACATACAAACACATTTTCAATATGATGTTGCAATCTGGAGGTAATTTTCCATACTCTTAGTGCTATATTTATACCATAAAACGTCCCCTGATGGGTCAGTGGTCAGGTTCACTTCGGACCTTTTTCTTCAACATAGTATATATATTTATTCAAGAAATCGTTAAATACTTGAACATTGATTTTACTTCCCTAATTCAGGGCCATGAATAGATTGCTATACCATTTAGTGCTATTCTACTATTTTTCTTAATTTGGTTTTATATACTCGCAAACAGTTCCATAGCAAAACGTTTACGGACTTACAACGTTAAAATACAGAGATCAATTCCCCACGGTTGACACAGAAAATAGCTCGGTATGACTTTGCTCTAAAACAAACAAAATATTCAAAATAATTATCATAAAAGTAGAAGTATAGTGAATAAGGTGTGATTAGTTTAAAACGAGCAGATTTCATATGTAACTTTCTTTTCTTTTAGGTAAAACGTAGCAAAGTATATGTAAACTGTCGCGGGTTCGAATCTCCATCCCACCAAACACGCTCGCCCTTTCGGCAGTGGTGGCGTTATAATGTGACGGTCAATCCCACTATTCGTTGGTAAAAGAGTAACCCAAGAGCTGGCGGTGGGTGGTGATGACTAGTTGCCTTCCTTCTAGTCTTACACTGCTAAATTAGGGACGGCTAGCGCAGATAGCCCTAGTGTAGGTTTGCGCGAAATTCAAACCAAACCAAGTACAGAAAAATGAATAAAAATATAAAAATATGATTTTTTTGTCGTTGTTGTTTTCGCACCCTTCAATTTTTGAACTTGAGTTGGTAGTGTATAGATCACACATATTCAACAAGAAAAATGTAATTTTTATTTTACTGTTTATATATATATGTATATATACATATTCAAACACATACTTAATTTTTACACTTGTCATTTACATATAATCTTAAAGCATGCCACCACTGTTCTTTGGGCATAGACTTACAGCGACGTAAGAGAAATTTCTCTTAGTACGTGTTTACGTATTGACTGGGCACTTTATCATAATTCCTACCTAATATCAGCTTTGACTACCTTTCACTGCGATAATAGTTTGGTCTCAGGGTGATATAGTTTCCTTGTGATGCTGGAAGATGTATTGTCCGTTTTTAGCTCATAGATTAAAGAATGCGGTCTGTAATTGATATTTAATTGAAATGTGGTCTGATGATTGTTTTGGAAAGGAAAATGCTTGAAGCCATTGTTATGTTTAGCGAATAATGATGGATTACTGCAATATCTTTTGGAAAAGTTCTTGTCCATCAGAATGGACATGATCGACAATATTCAGGAACACTGGATGTTATTCGCTCTTCTAAAAGAAACAAAGGACCTAACATCTGCCACCATCTCAAACGACGTATATTGTCGAAACAACAAAATCAGGGTCACAGTCTTCGTGTACTTTTCTGTATATTTGTATTCTACTGTCAGTGTAAAAATGTTAATGTGACTTATTACATCATATCACAGGTTTACCGATATTCCTTTACTGTCCACAATTTACAATCTAAGCATCACCTAAGTCATGATTTCCTGTTTGTATTTGAAAAGAGCAGTTTTCAGACTGTTAGTGGTTGGTATGTGAAAATTTATGTAATGTCTTTTGTGTAGATGGTTGGGGACAGTCGAATCCAGATTACTGTTTAAACGCAATTGATTAATTGGAGCACATTGCTTTATCAGCCTATCTGACAGTTTTTCTCTCATTCTGTTAACAGATATTGTGATCACAATTTTTCCAATTGGCAGATATGTTTCCTTTCGATTGCTAGTGTTAAATAGAACCTCATGGCAATGTCTTTGAACAGATGGCCAAAGAAACAGTTTTTGAAAATGATGCTCCTGTTAGATTAGCATCTGCTGTCAAATCTCTCTTTGAATATCAGAGATTCTTAGGCTTACTTATTATTTTGCAAACTAATTATGATATAACTACATGTCTGCATTTATATAATATAACTTATCACCTGACACTTCTTATGCTCAGCCCATTGTACGCATGAAGAAAATGAAGTTTTATAAATGTTTGAGCGTGTTCTAAGTAAAGAGGCCAATTAGTACATATATCTCGGCTAGAAATTTAATATGTAATTGAATTTTTTAAAGTTATAAACTACTACGCAGTTCTGTTTTAATACTATAAGTAGTTTTATCAAGTACAACTGTAAAGTTCACTTGCCCAATAAATATGAAACATAATACTTTCAGTTAAAAACAAATAAAATTGCTATACCGATTAAATTTGATTTATTGATAGTCCCAGCATGGTGATAACTCATGGTAACTTGAGTTTCGAGAAGAATACTTCAGGGTCTCTACCTGAAAACATTTACAATTCATGAACGTACATATCACTTAAAAATGAATAAGGAAGGGGAAACACTGTAATATTGTTACTACAAAAGAACATTTATATACATGGACATTTAAGA